TACCCGCACATTACCGTGCCACTTTACTTTGGGGGTCCTGCTGCCTGACGTCAGGCGCCCGCCTGGCACCACAATGTATTGTAGTGACACTGAGGCCTTATCAACCAGGTGAACGAACCTACCTGCACGCCGCTTATCCGCGGGTGGAGAGGAGGAGAGGTAACAAAGGAGTTGCTGTTCTAGTCGACGTGCCTTACCCTGCTGTAGGGTGTCACCGTGTGTTGGAGCTGCGGGCTGTGGGTTGGATTCGAGGAAAAACAACAAAAACTGGTTCGTTTTGGGGCTATTTTGTTAGAGAAATTCTCTCTTGGTCCCCAAACGTGAGAAGATAACGCCAAACGGAAGAACTACTATTATCCCAAAGAGTTCTACTTTGACGAGTTGCGAATTACGAATACAAAGTGATGCTTTGCAATTGCGAAGCGAACCGATGCTTCGCAGCATGTATAGCATTGATTTGCGTCGCAAATTGCGAAGTAAATGCTTCCTAGTTACAAAGGATGTAAATCATTTGCATTTCTGCAAAGCATTTGCTTTTAGTTTTGGAAGAAAATCTACTCCTTGCAACGAAGTCTCTGAAATGCTCTCGGAACGAAGAACACTTTGTTTGTGCTGCGTAGCTGGCTTTTTGAGTAACTACGCTAAGGTCTTACGCACACTTCTGCCATCAGAAGGGACACGGGATCGGAAATGATGAAATCGAAAGTACCCGAGGAAGGAGAGGGAGCAGGGGAAGCTGGAGCGGGCTGGTCCAGCGCTACTCCCCGCCACGCCGCGGCGGTGCTGTCATTGTCAAGACCACGGCGGCCCGGCGCGGAGCAAGCAAATGGAGTAGAGAGAATGGGAGGGGGGGGAGGAGAGAGAAGGTGAAGGTGAGAGGTGGGCCCTCGACTCAACTACTGTGTGCACTCGGAGCCGCTGCCGTCCGTGCCCTCGACTGGGACATTGGGTCTGCTCATACACCCACTATGGTAATCTGGAAAGTTCAAATTTGAAAACGTCTAGGCAACCACCTGCACCCAGAGGATCGTTTCTTTGACAGACGTAAAGAAATTGTCTATTTAAATCAAAGAAGCCATTTAGATCCAAATCAGTCTTCTTGGATCCAAGAATATATATTATTAAATTTTTAATCGAAAAAAGGCTCTTTGACGAAAAGATATATTTCTTTACTTATATGCCAAAGAAATATGGTCTAATTTTCTTTATTTTTCAAAGAAACGATCCTCTGGGTGTGGTGTGCAACTTTTGACACTCTTGGTAATACCAAGTTGGTATGCCATTTCTTGTACTATACTATTACTAAGACCAGTGACCAGTGTGTAAACAAGTGTGCAGACTTTGCGCACTTTCCAAACGTTTAAAATTTGCGCACTATGTTGTGTGCTTTCTGTGTATGAAGTGTGCTAATTAGCGAAAAGCACACCTAAAGTTTGCGAAAGGGCACCCTTTTTTTCCCAGAGTGCCCAGAATTTTTGTTTGTTTGTTGCTAGGGACCCCCGGGGGAGGGGGGGGGGGGGATACCAGAAACTTTAAAGTCGACAAAACTACTATGCCCTTGATTCTCAGTACCCTGAACGTCGCCCCAACCCACCTCAACCAGTTTTTGCGCCTATTCTGCGGTGCCCCACCCCCTCCTCACAGGAGGGCCTTGCGTCGCGTTCGGTGTAGACAAGATCTCCACTTCCAGTGGCCTTCCCTCCCCCGCAGCACCGTCCCGCCCGCCCCTCCCTCGTGGCCCGGCACAGCCGCGGCACAGCGTCTCAGTGTTCTCTACTGCCTACCGGAGACCGAAGTTTTTCTAGTTTTTGTACCCGCCAGCAAGCAGGATATGTTTCAATGTCGCCACCATTTAGATTCGAACAAGCGTGCCTCTAACACAAAAGTAGCCCTTTTTATTTGGAGGTGTTTGGAGCGCGTGCCGGACGTGAGGACGGCCACCAGGGCGTTAGGCAGGGGCGGGACCGACACGTCCACAGTAAATCCGTCTAGGCGACCGGCGGTCACAGACTTTGTCCCGCGTCGTGCCCATGCCCTAAGTTTATTCATATTATGAATGAACATTCATCGGTATATGTTATGAAGATACATTGTCCTCTCAAAAATTGCAATAAGTAAAAGGACTAATAACGGGCTCCCAACCCCTTCTGCGTGGTTGTAGAGGAGGAGAATAAGAATATCAAAATATGATCCGAAATAGGTTTATTTGCTCTAACGGAAGTGTTTTCTGTTTGTTGCAGGTCTATTCGAGCTTTGAAAGGTGTGTTGAGCCGCCGGTGCCCCTGGGTAAATATTTTGTCGAGTGAACTGCCTTTTGTCTTCCACATCTCTTGGAACTCCTGGAACGAGTCCTGAAACGTTATGGAATCTAGTCTTGAAAATTAAATTAGCCTTTCCACGAATTTGATAAATTGGCTAATGCATTCGCTAATATAGCCTTAGATTAGAATATTAGCTCTCTTAGCTAATTCTTAGGTAAGAGAGGTAACATATTAGCTTTCACAGCTAGTTTCTTTATTTTGTAACTGTCATGGGTAATTTATTAGCTCTCTTAGCTAAGAATTACCTAGGGGAGCTAATATTCTAATCTTAGGCTATATTAGCGAATGCATTTATTAGAAAATTTAGCTAGTTCTTTTTTTCCGTGTGTTACCTTATGGATCTCCTTACCACGGGAGGGCTCTTTGTGGTCATTGGTTACAAAAATTATTGAGGTTTTACAAAATTTGCGTGGTTAATTTTGCTTTCCGTCTTAAATGCGTATTTTCCGACTTTACTCGATTTTTTTCGTAAATAACAAGGGGCACAAAAGGCTGTTTTAATTTTCTTTCCTTTGTTCGTGGTACCATAATTCGCCATGAAGCCGGGGGCGTGAATAAGAAATGGTCTCGTCGGGTCCGCCGTTGGGTCCGCTCCGCGCCGCTGGGAGGTCGCCGCTCGGACAATTACCCCGCCGCCCCGGACCGCCTTCGGCCCGGGCCGCTCCCGCCCTGTGTTTGCGGACTGTACTGCACGCCACGCCCCGCCACGCCCCGCCACGCCCCGCCACGACACGCTTACTCACTCGCGGCCTTGGATCAGCCATGGTCAAGCTGCCGCCGCCGCTGCTACCCTTCCTGCAGGCAGTGCTGCGAGTGCTGCACGTGCGGCAACAGGACACACCCGCGCTCCGCAGCCCCGCCCCGCCCCGCCCCGCCCCGCACCGCCACGGGTACCGGTGCGGTCTAGCCGTGCAAGGCCGCATCTCCCGCTGCCAGTGACGTGCCTTTTGCGACAGGCAAGCCACACCTAATACGCAGACAGGAAACAGAACAAGAAGATTGACAATCGCACAATGTGTAATACGTTATACTACCAATGACAATGTTTAAAATTTGTACAGAGGACGGGCACACCGATCCAAAGAAAATTTGCATTTCGCTTTAGTATAATTCTTCTTTGAAAGTCAAGTCAAGCCAAACAGCACACCTTTGAGGACGTTCAGCGAGGTGGCAGACATAGACGCCACTTTTAGTACTTTCACATGAAGGGGTTCTATGTTACATAACCTAGTCCTGTCTTGAGGACTAGAAAATCGGCCAGTGCAACAACATCCTTTATCTCCCTTGCTGACCGACGCGTGGCAGTGAACGCTTCATCTCTAGCTTCGTGGTAAACAAAGAAACGTTTAAACGGCGCGCTGGGGACCTAAACGCGCGCTGCGTGCGTGTGCTGCGGAGTGCTGCGCGCTCTACTTAGAGCCACGTGATAAAGAGTGGTGGCCGGGAAGGTGGTGATCCTATACACTATCGAACACTCTTGAAAATTGAACAATGTGTGGTCAAAGGCTGATTTTCTTTTTAGACAGTCCCTTGTGGTCTGTCTCTACCCGAAGGTAAAAGTTTCCCGTTTTGATAAATATTGCCGGTTCTCGTTATCCAGTTTTGATAAAGATTGCCGATTGACGTTCCAGTGCCAGTTTTGATAAGCCAATTCACGTCGATAAAGATCTGTCTTGCTATAATATTAGGCTGTGGGGGAAGGCTTTCCGTCCCGGCCGTCCGTGCCAAGCCCGGTGGCAGTCCGCTGTCATCGCTCTGCTGGAGATGTAAACATACAACATTTGCTTCGCGCCGGGTCATAATGAGCTGGCCGACCCCCACTTCAGCCTCTTGAGGAACGCAGTGCAGCTCCTCGCGCCCCAACCCCTGCCCTCTTAGAGCTGAAATCGGCACCGCGCGCCACATGGCCCGTCCACTTGAGAAGTGTCACCAGTCCGAGCAAAAAATATAAATTTGAACCAGAACGCTCTGAAATATGAAATGTGCTTGTTTTCGGCACGAAGAAATTACGAATTCAGCAAAGTTTGAATGGTGATTCTAGCATAATTTGCTGATTTTCGTTGTTTCAAAAATATGACAAAGTGCTCTTGGGTAAGGTGAAAGTATCCCGTCTTGAAAAGGGTTGCCGTTGCCGATATTGCCGAATAACGTTCCAGTTTTGATAAGCAGATTTTCAGTCTTATTTTGATGCCTTATTGAATTTAAAGATACAAGTCTTAGCGCCTGATTTTTGAATTTGCTTTTCGAGCTGGACTGTCTCGTTACCGGCCGGCAGGCCAGTTTTTTTGTAAGAGGAGCGGGCAGTGATCTTAAACCAACGTACGAGAGTGTATGCATGGGCGTGCAGCAGGACGGAACGCTGGAGGATGTGTTCCGCTCATCGCGCCGGTCCGACCGGAGCTCCGCCCGCTCCGCCGGTGGATGTGGGTCAGCCGCGACTTGATGTGGGAGTCGTTCTCCCTCCCGGACAAGACTCCTCGGCTCCTGCGGAAACTGGCGGGGAAATGGAGCTGCAGGGAACTACAGGGGAGCAGAGGATTGTGCGGGCGCGGGAACCGTACCGGCCTG